GTTACAGTATCATAAAAAATTCATGTATGTTAGACCACTAAGTTCTTTGTAACTACAAAAAATAAAGTTTTGTTTTTAAGCTGGTAGATAAGTACAAAGGTGTTTTTATATTACCTTTTAAACTTTTTGTTGAAAGACTTCAGTGTTTTTAAATTCAAGTCAAATAAATTTTTTTTTCTTTTTTTTTGAGTTGGAGTCTCATTCTGTCACCCAGACTGGACTGCAGTGGCCGATCCTGGCCACTGCTGCCTCGACCCACTGGGCTCTGGCGATCCTTCCGCCTCAGCCTTCCAAGTAGCCAGAATTACAGGCGCGCGCTACCACGCCCGGCTGATTTTTGATTTATTGAAGAGATGAGGTCTCGCCAAGTTGCCCAGGCGGGTCTCGAACCCGTGGGCTCAGGCAATCTACTCATCTCAGCCTTCCAAAGACGCGGGAATACAGGCTGAGCCACCGAGCCCAGCCAGTCAAATAAATTTTAGTGAAAGAAATAAAGTCAAAATATTTAGTATGTGATGAGAGTAAAAGGAGGCTATTTTAATATTAATAGATATTCCTTATTGTGAGGCAGCACAAAGTAGCTGTTTAAGGACTCAGGTTCTAGAGGTTTTGGAATCGTAGCACTGACACAAGTCATGTAAAATGGAACAAATTACTTAACCTCTATGAGCCTCAAGTTCATCACAAAATGAGAATACCAATAATGTCACCCAGGTTATATAATTCAAAGTTTTAGAATGTCGTCTGGAGGACAGTATTAGATTGATGCATAAGCTCATAGCAATTGTTTTTGGCATAGCAACACTGTAGTATTGGCAGTTTATCATTTGCCACTTGTCATTTGGAGTGACAATGTTGTGCTTTTGAATACCCTTTGCATTTTGCAGATTTGAAGAAAGTTTGTGCTATTTGTAGGCTAAAGAAGATGGAGTGCCAAGTGGAAAAAAATACTTCCAACATATTCTTCTGTTTAACGGAGGAATAAAGGCAGTGGAGGCAACTCGAAACATTTGTGCCATGGATGGGGAGAATACCTTCAGGGAAAGCATGGCAAGAAAATGGTTTTGTCATTTCAGAGAGGGCCACTTTGACCTGAGTTATTCTCTTCATTCAGGAAGACCATTGGGTTTTGATGAAGACCGTTTAAACACTTTAATTCACGATGATCCACATCAGTCAACCCGAGAATTGGCAACTGGAAAATGCTATGAACTTATGCATCAACTCAATACATACAATATATACATGTCCAAATTTATCTATACTTAGCTATGTATATAATTTTCTTTTAATTACTATTTATTATTATGTTTTAATGTTTCAAAGATGCCTGTAAGACACCCAAGAAGACATTTGAAGATGAAGTGTGAATTTCAAGGGAGACGTCTGAGCTGAAGATGGAATCTAGGCATCACAGGAATCATATACAGACACATCCACATAGACACACCACACTCTCTCTGTCGCTCTTAGAATAGTACACCTGATAGATGAGTACCACATAAATACTAAAATATTAACTATTACTATTCTAATAAGCATTTCAGAAGTCAATTAAATTTAAGCTTATTAAAATAAAGTTAACAATTAAATGCATATAGTAGGAGCTCACTAAAGGTTTAATGAATGAAAATAATTCTTAGTGGTTACCTTTTTTCAATTTGCTATTATAAAAAGTAAACAGAAATTGAAAAGAACTTATATTTCTTAGTTTACAATGAAAATATTACTACAATGAGAAATTTAGTAGGTAAAAACAACAATGATCACTAATAATTATAACTGTAATAATATTAGATCTGGCTTGGAAAGCTTTCAAATTTATTTATTCATAGTTAATTTAGAATCTATTTAAGTATCAATATAAATGCATATATACATCTCATTAGTCTATGAGCCATAGGTCAAAATAAACATCAAGTGGATTATAATAATCGATTATGTTTTATGGGCTCCTCAGTCTTTTTTTTTTTGAGTTGGGGTCTCACTCTGTCGCCCAGACTGAAGTACAGTGGGCGCTCCTGGCCACTGCAGTCTCGACCTGCTGGGCTCCAGCAATCCTTCCGCCTCAGCCTTCCACATAGCTGGAACTACAGGCACGCGCTACCATACCTGGCTAATTTTTTGATTTATTGTAGAGATGAGGTCTCGCCTGCCCAGGCGGGTCTCGAACCCACGGACTCAGGCAATCCACTCACCTCAGCCTCCCAAAGACGCGGGATTACAGGCTGAGCACCGAGCCTGGCTGGGCTTCTCAGTCTTAAATGTCTCTTCCTAAAATACGCTACAGTATTTCCTCTGGAATTTTTATCTTATCCTCAAAGGTTTGGTTCACTTAAAGGGCAGGACATCAGAGGAAGGGGGGTATTGGCCAAGTCATTCCTAGTCTAAACAAAATTGAAAAAGTATGCATGCCAGGTGGGTGGTTTAAAATGAACTTTTAAAATATGCTACCTCTAACACATACCAAATATGCATGTATAAAGCAATTCAAAAATTGTTTCTGCCTAAACATGTTTGATTTCCACTCGCATTATAGCTACACCTACTTAATATTCTTTCATTGCAGTCCCTTACCTGCAGCAGAATCTCACTAAAGCACATGATTCCATTCAGAATAATAAGGTGCGATAGTAATTTAAAAGGACAAAAAGAACCCCAGGAGACACAGTGGACATTTCTTCTCAGAGAATGGGGGAGACGTTGGTCCTCTACCTTAAATTCAGGTATACATCCCGTGCCTTTGAGAGGCTGAGGTGAGTGGATTGCCTGAGCCCGCGGGTTCGAGACCCGCCTGGGCAACTTGGCAGAGACCTCATCTCTACAATAAATCAAAAATCAGCTGGGTGTGGTAGCGCACGCCTGTAGTTCTGGCTACTTAAAAGGCTGAGGCGGAAGGATCGCCGGAGCCCAGCAGGTCGAGGCTACGGTGGCCGAGAGCACCCACTGCACTCCAGTCTGGGTGACAGAGTGAGACTCCAACTCAAACAAAAACAAACAAACAAACAAAAAAATTCAGGTATCTCAACGTATCAGTTTGCACACACAAAAGCAGTTTGGTCTCCCAAACAAAAAGAGTTGTTTTTTGTTTGTTTGTTTTCCCCCTAGTTCTGAAGGCATACTTGGGGGACAGTGGGAGTGGCTACCCATTCACTAGCTGGCTGAATCAACACAGATAATCAGGAGAGTGACCTATAGTTACAATCATAAATATCGCATTTTAATCTCATGGTTTCTGCCTTTAGGTAAGTGATATCACAAAAGAATATTATGTCTGTTGGACTATTTCCTGAAGCAATGCAGTTCTGAGAAATATGCTCCCCCTTGTCCGTCCCCCAATATGATTTTCCCTAGGATGGGTAACCTTTTTCAACAGTGTGGTTCCACATATTTTAGGTTTTTGAAGACTAGAATTTTCCAAAATGTCTGATAATTTAAATAATAGGTTTATAGTTATGTTACCCATTTGTGTTTTTCAAGCACGCCACTTGCAATTTCTTTGCTTTAAAAAGAAAGAAAAGCCTATGCCTCACAAAGCTTAAGCAAGAATTGGTGGTAAGTTTTTTGTGAGGGCTGGTCAACAGAAGCCATTTTCTGATAATTTTACTGACAGTATGGATTATAGGCAATGGACCATTTGAGGGATTTTGTGGTTTTTGGCAACATGTTTTCATGACCCAATTAAGGCAAATTATGTTCTTCTCTTCTACCTGTCTGAATATATATATATATATATATATATTCATATATAGTGTATATGTTATATATAATACAGTATATATTACATATAGTATTACTATATTCATTCAAAAATACGTATGTATTTTTTTACTTTCCTTTAATGTAACAAAACTAGCACCCTGAAAGATACCATCTGTAATGTATGTGTAACTGAGGGTTTACTATAATGGTCAATTATTTAAAAGTCTCACATAATTCATATAATTTACACAAAAATTTATTATTAGAACTAAGATATAACATGTTCTTGGAATTATATGTAGAAGAGAAAAAATTTATTCTAGATAATTAAAATTATTAATTTTCAAGGACATAAAACATAAGGATTTTTAAAATACACTTACAAAAAATCACACACAGGAAAGTGAAGATTTCATAAAACTCTTTTAATAAAACATTCAAATAAATTTCAGTTAAACGTAGTAAGTTTCATAGTCCTATGACTTTTGTTTGCCTAACCTCTTAGAAAAATACCCTGTTATAAATAAAGCAGAGCATTCAGTAATACAGATTATACCAGCACATCAAACTTACAGAAAGTTTGACGTCAACATACCTTGCAACTACAATAAATTGTAATTTAATCCAAACACCACATCATAATTCAAATAATTATCAAATTTAACCACATTTTTTAAAATGTATACAAAGATGATCCTGAAAAAATTAAGTATTTATTTAAACACAGTATAATCTTATTTTAAGAAAACATAAGCACTTGAATTAATCAATTACTATCTTTAGCACATCTGAATTAATCGATTACTATACTTAGCAAGAGACAACAATAAGACTATAATAGGCTAAATCCAAACATGGAAAATAAATCTAACGTAAAAACAAGTAACACTTTTTTTTTTGTTTTTGTCTCTTTGCTGGCTCCCTGACTGCAACTGGTTTCTCCTAAATATATAGATTCAGAAAAAAAAGCTCACATAATTAAAATAATAAGTTTCAACTTTTTTCTGTAGCTCTTCCCCCCAAAATTCATCCATCCTAAAGTGTTTCCATTACCTTGCTGGTAAATCCTACAAAGAGTTCTGTTCATTTTTCCATTACCATCTCCCTCTGAGCTTCAAATATAGTTAGAAAAACAGAAAAATAGAAAAATTCAGAGCAGTTGGAAAAGCAGCAAGCTGCCAAAAGATGCCAGTTGAGATTTTTTCTGAAAAAATCCTACTTCCTAAAAGTCCACAGGTCAAAATTACTCACAGCTGGACGCAGGGGTCTTCGTAAAATGAAAAGATGTTTTTGGTGCCTCAATCAGCCGATTTAAAATGCTCCCGATCCACAGTGGGATAGATATGGCCCTCGAAGGTCAGGTAATCGATCGCTTGCTTGATGACCTCGACGCTCAGGCCGCTGAGCTGGGTCTGGAGCTCATGGATGCTCTTCCCTTCTTGCAGAGGACACTCTAGAATCAAACGCAGCACTTCCTTCCGGATAAGGTCGAGGCGATCTTCCTTGTTATCACTGGGGTCATTCATTTCTGATGGGGCCACAGACGCACTTTCTCCAGTGGCCGCTTGCTGGGCTTTCTCCAGCATCATGTGTGCATTGACCGTTTCCAGAATGTGTACGGTGAACTCGTTCATGTCCTCCAGGACATGGATTTTCAACACTTCGAGACTCTTTGTCTCCACGGAACCTTTGAGGATACCGAACACTTTGACGTATACTCCGACTGGCAATGGAGTCATCTGCTTGGCTTTTTCTCTGCCAAGCCAAACCCGGGCCTCAATTGGCTTCGAGGTCATATCATCAATTTTGTAACGTATGTGATTTGAAGCCTTCTCTGCCCCTCTGATTATCCCCACGATGGAAACCTGGGACACTACAATTCCTCTAATCTTGAACACATCGGCAATCAGAGTCGAGGTAAGCAGCTGGTTTACACAACAAGGTACAATGTTCTGGATTCGGGCCCTGGGCCTTTGGGCCTTAAGCATAGGAGCTGCTCCGCCCTCAGATGGTTGGTAACTGTCACCTCCGCCCTCAGATGATTGGTAACTGCTTCCACCGAAGGTGGAGCTGCCATCTCTTTCAAACCCACTCTCACTCATCTTAACTATACCTCAGGCTGAGAGGAGGTGGGCTTTGGCTCTTGTCACGGAGCTTCACAGGCTGGCTTCCAGCTCGGCGGAGTGCTTCCACCAAACGTTAAAGGCTTGACGACACAATCAGCTTTATGCCAAGTGTGGAGCCAATCGACTACCAGAATGCATCTTGCCATGTTCTCGCGAGATCCTATAAACGTTCAGAGTGTGGCCAACAGCTGCTACGTCTGAAAAGCCCCCCCCCCCAAGATGTGGGGGGCGCTGTCACTTAGCTGGCCAAAGCGCCTGTCAAATATTTTCCCGCCATCTCATAAAAATGCAGTTTTATTAGTCCTTGTCCTCTTCATTTCTGAATGCCACAACTTCTGAAGTTACTTCTTAAAGATTCTTTTATTTGCTAATCAATTAATCAACAATTCAACCGAAATTTTGGCAGTACTTAAGTGCTTGGCACTATGGTAGGATGCTATAGATTATATGCCAGGGGAAGCATACATCACCATGGTTACCGTTTTCACAGAACTCACATCCCTACATACCTTGTTCCACTCACTAAAACTAGAAGCTTCTGGAAGAAATGGTGAGACAACCAACTTTGAATAATTATTGTACTCCAAGATAAGTTACATCTTACCACTGCCTTTTTATTTTGTTATAACATGATTTCCCAGTTATTTTGCCAAATGCACTCTAAGTATAAATAATATATTTCAACTTATCCATAAATCCAAACTGAATAACTGAGCTCTAAATTATTTTCTAGGCTCTGTGGAGAGGATAAAAAAAAATACAATACTTAGGCCTATTATATATTAGGAATAACAGAAAAATCACAGTAAGTTCTTTATATCCTCTTATACAGTAAGTTCTGAACTTAAGATCTTAACAACTATATAAGGAGATCCCAGAATTATTTGTTATTACACAGAAGATTAGTTTTTCCTTATAAAACATTTTATTTTGGGTATATTAATTTATAGGTTTTTATTATGGTTAATAAAGGAACAATTGTTATTGGAATTCACCACTGGCAAGTCATTTTTTACATTGTAGTTAGTTAATAGCCTAAATGTATAGAGTTTTGAGGACTTTATTAATGCTCTTGCACTCTCATTTCTTTTATTGGTTAAAAATAATTTAGTTTTTGCTGTCTCAAAATTATAGAAATATGTGAATAGTGTATCTAAAACACGTAGAGGAATATGAAACTATATATACTTCTCAAGCTTGAAAGGAATACAATCATAAAGCCACTATACTTATTTGGTTTTGTAAATATATAATTATATGAGCACACAAATAGAGTTCCATATAAACATGGATATTTAACCTCAGGCTCTATGTTTTATATAATCAAAGAGTAAGAATTAAATAATCAAGCAATATTTGTATTCTTAAAATTGCACAGTATTAGAAATCTGATTAATTAAATATATTTTTTAAATGTTTACAACTTCAAAATCAGATATTGCTGTTTTATTAACTAATGTCAGATTTCTAGTCAGAAAATCATAAGCTTAATATAACTTATATTACAAAATAATTTATACAGTACAAACTATATGAATCATACCAAAATCACAAGAACAACCTACCTGACAGGATTGCTGGTTAAAGAAACCCTCAGGGACTCTAGGCAGTTAAGAAGTTTCTCATCTGAAATACCAGATCGTAATTCATGAACATATTCTTGTGAAGACAGGGTGCATTCATGTTTGCTGTTTTTCAGCCCACCCTACAAAATAAAAAAAGATACAATTTTAGACAACTTTTTAAAAATACTTTTAAAGTTAGCATATAGAATACATGAATATTTTACTGCATAAAAATATGAGCAGAGTACTAGGCACTTAAAAATTCTTGATCATAAAACTGATGTGGTAAATTGTGTTGTGTATATCTCAACCTTCTCCTCACCCTCATTTAAAAGAAAATTTAACTGCCAGTGTCCATGATCTGAATAGAATATGAATTTGAATTATATAAAGTATCATTGACAGGGGTGCTTAAACTTACAATCCAGGCATTAAGATTAATATTAGCTGGCCCTCCTTAACCAAGAGGATGAGCATTTAAAAATCATTTTATTAATTTTCCTAGTTAAGATATTTATATTTGATTCCACAAAATACAGTAAAGAAAATTTAGTGTAAAGCTTCATACATAACACAAATCTATTGAAAGGTATCAGCCTTTCTCAGAAAATAAGTGAAAACAATAATTAAAATATAAAACAATATAGTCTCCAGTTAGCATGTTAATTAATCAAATTAGTCTAAACCATTCACCACTTCCCAACTATTCCTTCATAAATGTTATTTGCATATTGTAGATTAATCTTAAAAAGTCATTAAATAAATTGTAACCTACATCTTTAAAACAAAAAAGTTTTAAAATAAAAAAGTCATTAAATACATTTATCTGATAGACTATTTTAAGCTTAATTTCTAATATACAAGGGGTTATTTCTAGAACTCATTATGGCATCACAGCTCCTTAGCTTCATCACCTTGCTATAACTATATAAGTACTTCACTGAAAAGACTGTAAGGAAAACATCGTCAACACATTCATGGTACTAATAACTAATAGTTTCACATTCCAGTCATACTTAACCAAAACTGCCCCTTTCTATATTATGTAACCCCCTGACTTAAGACTCTAGCTTTAGTCCCATTTTCCACTTTCATAAAAATTATATTCAGTTTCTGCTAAGTCTATCAGGATACATCACATAAGGAAATATAGTAAGGATATGATATCATATCATAGGAGACATAATATTATAAGGATATCATAAGAAAAGGGATTTTCCCCCAATTGGGCAGAAGTATTAACATAAGAGGATAAGGAACTTTTAAAAAAAACAGTGTGTTAATAATGAGAAATGGATTCCCTACGTTTTCACACTATTTGGGTTTTTATTGAGACTGCCTACTCAATATAGACATTGTCAAACATTCTTAATTTCTGAATTTAAAACAACCCACTAGTAAATGTTTAAAGTCTGATAAAGGCTTACAACACATAGGGGAACTCTATTCCCTTAGCACTGTGGCAATAACACAGTATTATAGCACTTAAAATATTATGGTAGAGGTCATGATTTGTCTCTCCTCTACATTGAGAACTTCATGTATGTGAAATGCCTAACAGAATGTCTGAATTTAGTGAGCCTTAACAAAAGTGAGTGTATCCATAATGATTACAGAACAAGGAATACAATTTCATGCTTTTGGCTCCTATAGTTTATGCAATGGCCACTGGACTTGGTTTTTCTTGCTTTGTTATGAGAAACAAACAATAGATGCTCTAAAACTATACTGGATGAATCACCACATAGATGGCACAGTAAGTAAAAACATCATTGTGAAATCATATCCACATTCCTACTACTCATTTACCCATCTCATATTCTACAAGGAATAACAGCAAGTAAATATTTAAAGCATAATTTTAAAAATTCAAAATTATGCTTTTATTTTTGTTCAACCATTCACTTTCTATAACAATACAGAGTCCATCAGTAAGAATGGATCTATTTACTGCCTGTACTACTCTGAAAACTACTAGCACAAGAAATGCAAATTTTACAAGTCTACAGTCACATACCACTTTCATATAATTCTGGAAGTTATTTTTTAATTAATGTATAAAAAGGTACTACTGAATTTCCCCTGGAGGCTTATATATGGAATTTATTCCTGTTGAATGATCTTGAAATTTTGCTGTTTTCTCTGCCTGGAAGACTCTTGCCCAGACTTCTCCATTGCTGGCTTCCATCATTTTAGTCCCAACCCAGTAGTCTCCTTCTTATATGAAAGTTTATCTTGTTTACTAATTTAGATGTTTGCTGTCTTCCCCACTAAAACATAAGCGTCATAAGACAGGATTATTACCTGCCTTGTTCGCCACTATATCCCCAGATATTATGGAAGTGCTTGGCAAGAAGTAAGTACTCAATACATATTTCCTGAATGAATGGATGGATGAGTGGGGGATGGAGTGGGGGATGGAGGGATGGATGGAAGGATGGATGGATAAAGAATTTAAAAATGAGTTAATGATTGATGAGTTTCAACATGCTAAAACTTCTGGGCTTAATTTAGCTTTGATTCAGAATGTTATAGTTTTGAGATTTTCAGTTATGATATATTCAGAGAGGCTGAGTATATAATAAGTAAGCTGAGACACTGTACGACATGCTGAAGACAGCTCGGACTTTGCCCAAGTCATTTACTTTCTAGTAATCTTAGGGCAGGCTATGAACAAATCACTATAAACTTGTTTGCTCATATGTGACATGGGGTAATAAATACCCACTCCTCATATCTGTTATGAGATTTGAGTAAGAAAATGCATATGAAGTATGTAAAGCATGTATTTCATATATAGCATCTCATAAACACAGAATAAGCTACTCAGAAAATGGGAGCTTCCTTTTCTAATTGACTGTCTATAGGGTTAGCCTAATTGGGGCATAAGGTCATTGCTGAGATACTCCTTATCAACAGTTGGGCCAGCCCACCACCTTTGGCTCACCTCCCACCTCTAAATTTGTCTTAGAAACAAGCTTAAATTATGTAATTTGGGATACTTTGTAGTTATACAGAATGGCAACAAACCATCTAATGGAGCATGACAAAAACTTTATAGAACAAATGCCTTTTACCAAGCTTTGAAGGACTTTGGAGTTAATTAAATATAAGTTCATATTTGAAAATTATGAAAACATGATAGTATGTTAAGGCTGGACTACTCCTTGAAGATCAGCTCTTCTAATGTCCTCATTACAGAAATGAAGAATCCAGGTGATTGCCCAAGTTCACATAATTAGTCAGGTTGCGGGACTAAAACACACACATTCTGGTCCTTGGGTCACTGCTTTCTCTACTATCTGCCACTTTTCCCCAATATTGAATAAAAAGTTAAAGCAACAAGTATTTAATTCTGAAATCTCTATTATAAAACCTGAAGGTGTCATGCATCTTCAGCATAATCAATATAGTGTAACATAATATTAAAGAAGTCACCTAAAAACAAAACAGTACAATAGATTAAACTAATTCTTACCATACTTAATAGGGCTGTAATACAAAAATGGCTTATTATTAACATCCTGCTCTGACACTGAACAAAGGAAACAACTAGATAATGGATGGATAATAATGGAAATTTTAATTAGCTGCTCTGTATGAGATTAATGAAAATTACCACTGTGCCCATTTTATCTTTAAAAAATAATGCAGACAAAGTTAGCAATTAGTGTACATCATGCTATTCCAAAGCTAGGTGAACAAAAAGCTTTCCTAATTTGAAGCCATTCCTTAATTTGAAAATCATTAGGATGGAGATACTAGTCAGTGTGACTACGCTTGTAGTATTCCAAGACAGTACACAAGGAACTGAAAGGTACTTTGGGTCTGTTTGGTAATCACACATTCCCCTTACTCTGATATGAAATGTTACTATCAAAACCAGACAAGCAATATTCTAAAAATAAGATTTTAAGTTTGCAGTGGGAATAACCACTTCTGAGTTTATACTGGCATTCTGAGCATGATCTGTCATTCTTTAATGTATAGACAGATTTACTTATTATTTGAAAAAAGGCTTCATAGTTCTTAGTTGCAAAGGTATCTTGTTGCAAACACTGGAAAGAACTATTGATTGTACACAGGTCTTTTCAGCTACAGCAAGCACACAGATAGCAATTACTATCAGTGGTGTCATCTTCAAATACGAAGGACAATGTTGTCATGAAAACAGTAATATAGCTAGTGTCACTATAATTTATAAACCCTAATGTAGTCATGTTTCCTTGGCTATTTTAATCAAGTGAGTTTCTTATCTATCATTGTAGTTCTCTGAAAGCACAATGTTATAAATTAGCAAATGAGGAATTACATCTACAGAGGCTCGCAATATTGTTATTTGAGAGGCTCCTATAACTTTAAAAGCATAAGAAATTAAAAATATATATCTTCCTCATCATCAGCTAGGTTCAAGTTAGGAAAAAACCCACAAAATCAGTGTCCTATCCAAGTGAATGTACCTATTTATTCTGATAGTGATGTATTTGGTGTTGGTGGGCTATACAACTTTAAATATATTACTGAACCTTCAGGTGGCTTCTCTCCATTTATATAAAAAACTATCTCTTAAAGGAAGAGTAGTAGAGTTAAGTTATATCAAAAAAGATATAAAAAGTATCTTAAAATAAGTTTATTACATTACAATATTTCAAATAATCTTATATGCAATTTGCATCAAAATAATTTTAATTACATGAAAAAATGTAGGGTAAATGATATGACAGGTTATCAATTGAGTCTGTAAGAAAAAAACTTATGCAGAAAATTACTATCATGAGATAACTTCTTCATACAGTGTCATTTCCCATTGCAAGAAAAATGGTTTTAAACTAAGGAATTTTCAGATGGTGAAAGTAATATGCAAAATAAGAGAACATATTCCAAATTCTAGAGCAGGGGGGGAAAGTTTTTTTATAGTAAAATAGAAGCATTTTAATTTTTTAGATTATCTATACCATTTTCCCCAAAAGGATTTGACTAACCAAACTTATTTGTGATTAGCTAAAATATTCAACAGAAGAAAAGTGTAGTTTTCTGTGATGAGATCATTTATTGTTTACTTATTAAAGTTTCTGTATATTAAGTTTCAAGTAAGTATTTTACCCCCAAGATATAGAATCTCAGACCATCACAGAACAAA